TTTCATAGCAAATTAAAAAATATTTACTTAAATTTATGTATTTTACGGAAAAAGGAATGAATTCTTAGCCTTGAGCAAAAATATTTGTGGCAAATACTTTAGTTTTATAGCTAAAGATTTTTTAACGCGTAGCTAAATACAAGTATTGTAATGACAAGTTTAAAATATAAAATAGCCACAAATTTTGAATTTTAATAGCAAATAAATCAAGTCTTTTGCCACAATAGAGTACATTGTGTCTACAATATAAAATTGCTATAGATTTTATTAGTTGTGGCAAAAGAGTAAAATTATTTTCTACATGTACATATTTTGTAGCAAGAATTTTTTATTATCACAGCTACAACACAATTTTTTTTGTAATTATAAGCATTAGTCCTTAGCCACATACCATGTAAAGTCTATAGCTAACTTTTAGCCACGTTACATCTTGCTACGAATGCTACAAGAAAAAATTATGTGACTAAAGTGTTTGACAACGAAAAATTTCACGTTTAGCTACAATGCATTTGATAGCTTTTAAGTGCATGTAGTGAACTCATAATAATATGATTCGTTTAACTTATTCAAACATATCATACTTTTACTACAGATCAATATGAATTGATCCACTAGAAAACTTGTAAAAAGATAAATTAAACCTTTTTTCGTTTAAATATGTTAGTTATAGTTATAATAAATAAATTTTTTTTTTATAATTGAACAAATTATAAGAAAATAATAAATTAAATTTGATTAAAGTTGGATATCTTGGGAGATGACGTATCATTTAGTCAATTTTAACGTAATTCATTTCAGCTGAAGTAAAATTAATAATTTATTCATTTATATTAATTTAACTCATTTTGACTTATTCATTTTAAAACACTTACAGACAACTTTTAATCATTTGATGTTATTTCATATGTGTATGTTTTCAAAAGCAGAACTTGGATGCACGTGTGATCAATTGTGACCATAAACCTAATATTCTAGCAACATGTTAGTTTATTTATACCTTATTCTAGCTAGGATGAAATATTGAATTAAGTAGTTTGTGAATGGGATCATGAGAATCCATTGGGATGGTACAATAATCAATTGAGTAGGGACTAAGGTTTTCAAACTCTCTAGAGCCAAGTTAATTAATGTAATTATAAGTGCCACCATAAATTTAATTAAATAATTTAGTATAAAGACTTTAGAAGTAGAGAAATTAAAAACACAAGTTTTCTGCCAAAGTAAAAGTTGGATGTATAAGTGATTAGTTATATATATTTTTATGTGAAGACATCAAATATTTGTATGAGAGACTAATTGTATGTAAACAATATGTAAAATATATGTGAAAATGACGATCTCCAATGAAGCAATGTCAATTTTTCAATGGTCAACTATTTTAGCGACGACAAATGAGTGAGGTTGGGGAGGAGTAATAACTACAATTTTTAAATACACAGATACATATATTTGCTATATACTAACATAATCTTATTATATTTTATAATTATGTAAAAATATCATTGAAAAAAGTAATAAGGAGCAAAACCACTACATTAAGTAATTTGATCTAGTTATAAAAATTAGTTACTCATAATCCGAAAAAATTGAGAGATTAACAATGATGTTACATATCGTATTGGAGCAGGATGGATGAAATGGGAGCTCGCTTCCGGTGTCTTGTGTGATAAGAATGTACAATCAAACATTAAAAATGTAAGTTTTATAAAGTGATGGTCATATCAATTACTTTTATGGTTCAAAGTGTGGGCCGGTCAAGAAATCACATATTCAGGAGATGAAAGTAGTGAAAATAAAGATGTTGAGATGGATGTGTGGACATATTAGAAAAAATAAGATTAGGAACGAAGTTACCCGAGACAAGATGAGAGCGACCTTCGTGGTTGACAAGATGAGGGAGACGAGTTTGAGATGGTCTGGGGGAAGAGAAGATGCATACATTGCTTAATGAAAAAGAGTGAGAGGTTGATTATACTGGGTGTAAGAAGAGGTAAAAATAGATTGAAGACTTATAGCGGAGATGTGTTCAAACACGACGGATGCTCATCTGCAACTTACCAAACACATGAACCTAGATATGAAAATACAAAGGTCGAATATTAGAGTAAAAGATTAGTAAGTCGAGCATTGGTCTCGTTCTTTTTTCAATATTATTATCACTACTCTCATATTATCTTATTCCTCAATTTTAGTAATCATTCAAATGTTTCATTTGGTTTAGTTATCATATTATTTAGTTGTTGTTACTATTATTTTCTTCGTTATTTTCCGAATAGCTTCTTCGCTAATATACTTATTTTTTAAATATATTTTGCTTGAGTCGAGAGTTTTATTGAAAACAACTAAAACATTCACACCATCTTCGGTAAACTCCATTTGTAAAATTAGACTAGCATATTGTTGTTCGTTATAAAAACTAGTTTACATGTATTTGCAATAAAATTTTAGAATGATATAAAATAAATTGCAATCACAAATAAAATATGAAGAAATATAATTTTATTGATAAAACAAAGTGGATACAAATGTGTTTGTTTCCTTAATTATTCTCCTTGGATTTTCTTCATGATTCAACGACTATTAATAGGATGTATCTTGAACATAGGATAATTTGAACCTCTTGATATTTATTTGATCTTCATGATAGGATTTTGCGTATGTTCTTAAAGTATTTCTACTATATTATAAAAGAGAGTTTAGACAACAAAAATAACATATATTGGGTCCATTTTAATTTATTTCTCTTATTTTTTTTGTTTTTATTATATTTAAAAATTGCGTAAATTCTACTATATTATAAAAGAGAGTTTAGACAACAAAAATAACATATATTGGGTCCATTTTAATTTATTTCTCTTATTTTTTTTGTTTTTATTATATTTAAAAATTGCGTAAATTCTACTATATTATAAAAGAGAGTTTAGACAACAAAAATAACATATATTGGGTCCATTTTAATTTATTTCTCTTATTTTTTTTGTTTTTATTATATTTAAAAATTGCGTAAATTCTACTATATTATAAAAGAGAGTTTAGACAACAAAAATAACATATATTGGGTCCATTTTAATTTATTTCTCTTATTTTTTTTGTTTTTATTATATTTAAAAATTGCGTAAATTCTACTATATTATAAAAGAGAGTTTAGACAACAAAAATAACATATATTGGGTCCATTTTAATTTATTTCTCTTATTTTTTTTGTTTTTATTATATTTAAAAATTGCGTAAATTCTACTATATTATAAAAGAGAGTTTAGACAACAAAAATAACATATATTGGGTCCATTTTAATTTATTTCTCTTATTTTTTTTGTTTTTATTATATTTAAAAATTGCGTAAATTCTACTATATTATAAAAGAGAGTTTAGACAACAAAAATAACATATATTGGGTCCATTTTAATTTATTTCTCTTATTTTTTTTGTTTTTATTATATTTAAAAATTGCGTAAATTCTACTATATTATAAAAGAGAGTTTAGACAACAAAAATAACATATACAACATATATC